TGTTACAAGACATGTACATATAATATAGTATTAATGGCGAATGGTGTTTTTGCAAAAAACATCTCGATCACAAAAAAGCACATCTAATCCATGTTATTAAGTCAGACACTGAATTCAGGCCTACAGTTAGAGTTAGTGCTGAATAATGTATTGTGTGTTTGTTTTTATACATTATATACGAAATCGCAATTATAATTTGAAATCCTCTCAATACATACTAAACACACATAAAAGTATATAACTTATACATATTATATAAGCATACATATTATGTAGTTTTATATGCATGGTATATATTGTATACAACACACACACGCAAATAGTGCATGATTATTATGTAGAGTATGCTAGATATTATTAATCATTTAGTGTATATGTGGATTAACTTATACAGTATAACCGTATATACTATACATAAACATTACATGTAGAGTACGTCCAGAATATAATTATCCCAAATATTACTTTCATACACTTCTATCCCTTTCTCTTCCTATGCCTATTGAATACAAGACCAGAATTAATAAAATTCTTATCTCAAAGAATATATGAATATATTTTCATTTATAACTTGTTTCCTGTGTTTTAACAGAATATTCTGTTTTCACTTAAAACAGGAAGAGATACTGAGTTAGAGAGAGAGAGAGAGAGAGAGAGAGAGAGAGAGACCCATTTAACCGTATAATAAATATACAGCCAAAGTCTTAAACTATACTTATGTGTATTTATTTCGAGAAATCCATATGAATGGCAATAAATAAATATATATTTATAAGTAATTCGTATCAAGTATTAAATGATAAGCCATCGTAAGTTGTAATCAATAGCGATGAGCGAGCAAGCTCAAATATATTTTATACAACATATAACTACACAGTTTATATTGTAAAGTACGATGAAAAATAAATTTCAAAAATATCAACATGAATTTAATAATTAATTACAGTCACCCTAAATATCCATCACTTGTTGTCAACAAAAAGCTCATAAAATGCTGCTAATTTTCTAAACTAAACAAGATAAAAAATATGCGCTTAATTTACCTTAATATAAGACCCATTGTCGTCGTCGTAACCATGATTTTGTTGGGCATTTTCCACGCCATCGATCTTATTTGCATCCAACCCCAGATACCAGACCTCCGGATAGTGGCTCACCTCTGACCTCTCAAACGCGTTCATTCGTAGGCCATAATAGCGTAGAGTTTCTGATGAAATAATTAACGCAAAAACAATGTATTCATTAAATAAAAACAAAATCAAGCGCAACATGTAATTAGAAATTGATATTTTAATTAAACAAATCGATAGTATATTAACTGAAAGGTCAAAACGAAGGTGAGGGGGAGTAGAGATGAATATCAGTGTTGGTCATATTTTTATATAACGTGATATATTATATAAACTCAATGTAATTAGCCGTTCAATTATATATCTAGTGGACAGTTATGGGGCAATTAATAACTAGACAATTAAATATCTAACAATATTTAATATTTACCCCCCCCAAATCGGGGGCCAAACGGGAAGAATGATATCCCATGTCGTATGTAATAACCATTATGTTATACTCATAACTCATATCCATATTATTATAAAGACACATATTTTTCTCATGTGTTTTGTATTTGTTTGCCAATAAAATACACAACAAATTATAATAATAATAAAAATCTAGAAAAATGTTAACTTCAATACATATCAGGAGTTTATCTATTGTTTTACAAAATTGTTTCATTATTCTTGTTTTTATTGTTATTTTGATTGAAAAGTTTTGCGAGAAAAAAACTTTTGTTTCAACATTTTATTTGTATTTAATGACAGAAAAAATTATTTATAAAAAGACTTATTTCTAGGTTTAGGTTTAATTTTGTAGACTATTTATTATTGTTATTATCCGTATTCATGATATACAGTGTACTCTCGATAATCAATTGTGTGCTAAATGGGGTATACATTATTGCATTCAGTATATCTCTACTCATTATTATTAGTTTTATAATAAATAATAATAATAATTGCATTATAGCAGCAATAGTGTAGAAAATAATTGAAAAATTAATTAATTTGATAGACAATAGTACACTAATATACACAAACACACTATCACAAAGAAATAACCATTATGGAAGTTTACGGTAAATAGTGATAGATCGTTTTGATGAGCGTTTTTATGTACATTTTCCGCTATCTCTAATGTATATATAAAGTTATATATTATATAAAATAATAATACAATTTTTTTGTGTTTGATTGATAATGAACTTAATCACCACTTCATGAATATTCATGACATCCGCATCCCATCCATTTGCTCATCTCTCTCTCTCTCTCTCTCTCTCTCTCTCTCAGCTCTCAATCTTATATTAATTGGTTTGTGATTTGACAAAAAAATTTGCTTATTATATACCCGACAAATACATGATAAATATTTATTAGAAAATTATGTTAGATGTTTTTTCTCTCTCTCTCTCTCTCTCTCTCTCTCTCTCTCATACTCTCTCATTCACTAATAACATGATATATACCGTACGATAGGTAACGGCATAATAGCAATGGACGCCAAACTGGGCGGCGGTCTCTCAACTCTGCCGACAATAGCCGTACAAAAGATACCGTTAAATCACATGTCATCGCACGACGACTCCGACGGCCCGTTCCCGTCGCTGAACGGCAAGAGTAACGGCCATAACCACAGCCACAGTCACAAAGACTCGGCCAACGGTGGCCACCGTGTGGTCAACGGTCACCAACACAACCATCGGGTGTCCGTCAATGGGAAGAGTAATGGTTGCGATCACGGCATGAATGGCGAGAATCGCGAGAATAACGGTCTGATTGTGAATAAGGGTCACCGATTGGATCCGTTAGGTCTGAAGCTCCCGCTGTCACCAAATGGTGAGTTTGTTGGCTCTTGTCTTAGGTCTATCACCCCTTTTGGCACAGGGTTTGGGGTTTGGGTTGTTTTTGTTTTGTTATGCGATTAAAATAAATTTGTGTCAAATATTTGTTGGCAATATATTCCCGGAAATTTTTTCCCTGCATTTTATTTTTATACATTACATAATATTTAGTACGGGGTTTATTTTGAGGATAATCCATCATGAACTTTATAACGTATACCCCACCCCCTCTACACCTCCAGCCCCTGGTTTTTGGCAAACTATTAAGCCGTTTATTACTTGATTATCCGCTTATCGATGATATGTGTTGTGTTTTTATATAATTGAGATCTCATTTCAATGAATATATAACTGTATTATTATTAGTATTATCATATAATAATAAAAATCATTTAGTTTTTTAGTTTTTATCTGAATAATTGGTTTTTGAAGTTTTAGTATCAATAGTAACGACACCGTAAAAAATATACAATTATTAAATACAATAAAAAATCATTTTTGCGTTTAGTGTACAGAATATGCAATTAATGTATGTATTCATTGGTTTGTGACAAACAATTTATATACAATATATAACACATACAATGACTTGAATTAATTTAAAAGTAATTTTGTTTTGTTTTTTCTTTACAATCCATTATCACAATGTTTTGTGTATATTATTTTTGTTTAGTTATAGATATTTCCGTTATATTTTATTTCCTGTAAAATAATTTCAATAACAGATATAATTATCGTTAGACTTGTATTTCAAATATGGTATTTGTTGTGTTTGTGTGCATAACTACTACTTGAATATAATCATGTATATTATATACATTTATACAGCGATGCATTTGTTGCAAATAGTTTGAATAGTTATTTGTCACTCAATAGATATATCATAAATACAAATAATATACAATTATGTAAAATAAGTTATCGTCAGACAAAAAATACAAATTTATTTAAATTACAATTTCATGTTTCGTTTCCCATATCGGGGGCCAAACGGGAAGAATGATATCCCATGTCGTATGTAATAACCATTATGTTATAAATGTATATTATTATTGCCATCGCTATTATATATATCGACTAAACAGTAGTTCAATAGTCATTAAAACAATAAATAAATTACAAGAATTATTATATAAGAATTTAAAGGAATAAATAAGAAGATAAAATAAATTAAAGAGAAATTATTAGTTGTTTGAGTTGTTATATAATAAACATACGTTATAATTAACGGTACCGTTTGTAGTGACATATACTTTACAGTAGTCTATAGTGAATGCGTGACAAACATAATCATCAATTGGTTGACAATTCATAATGGTAATGATATTTGCTTATTTTTATGCACTTTAATTCATTATATATTATTCAACCATAGATAACAACAACAAATTTTTGTTTTTTTCAATTCACTGTATATCTCATACACTAATACATTATACATTTAGTGTACTTTATTATAGACAATGGGTTACGAGTGTTTGGTTGTGTATATAATTGCGAGCATATAGTGTACGGCATCGGCCAAAACGATTGATTACATATAAGTTATAACCATTAGTTACGCAACAGATAATTATTATTATTGGTTATTATAATTGGTTATAGACTGTAGTGAAAGGTCACACAAACATCGTTAGCCCACTATATTAACCTGACGATGGTAATTATGAGGCGAGCACACACCTGTTCCCGATCGGTTATATCACATTGTAAATAAATAATCAATGTAAACATGGATAGCAACGTGATCAATAATTGGGATAGTAAATATTGTTGGATATTTAATTGTCTAGTTATTAATTGCCACATGATATTTAATTATAGATATTTAATTGAATGGCTAAGTAAATCGAGTTTATCTAATATAGCACGTTATATAAAAATATGATCAACACTGATAGCCATCTCTACTCCCCTCCCCCTCTTTTTTAACCTTTCAGTTAATATGCTATCGATTTGTTTGATTAAAATTTCAATTTCTAATTACATGTTTTGACCTTAATTTTATTTTTATTCAATAAATACATTGTTTTTTTTTGCTTTAATTATTACATCAGAAACTCTACGCTATTATGGCCTACGAATGAACGCGTTTGAGAGGTCAGAGGTGAGCCACTATCCGGAGGTCTGGTATCTGGGATTGGATGCAAATAAGATCGATGGCGTGGAGAATGCCCAACAAAATCATGGTTACGACGACGATAATGGGTCTTATATTAAGGTAAATTAAGTGCATATTTTTATCATGTTTAATTTAGAAAATTTAGCAGCGTTTTATAAATTTTTTGATGGCAACTAGTGATGGACATTTAGGGTGACTGAGGGTTGGACTGTAATTGATTAGTTAATTCATGTTTATATTTTTGAAATTTATTTTTCATCGTACAATACAATATACTGTATATGTCACATGTGTATAGTTAGATGTTGTTTTATACATGTTGTTGTATAAAATATATTTGAGCTTGCTCGCTCATCGCTATTGATTACAACTTACGATGGCTTAGCATTTAATACTCGATACGAATTACTTATAAATATATATTTATTTATTGCCATTCATATGGATTTCTCGGAATAAATACACATAAGTATACTTTAAGACTTTGGCTGTATATTTATTATACGGTTAAATGGGTCTCTCTCTCTCTCTCTCTCTCTCTCTCTCTCTCTCTCTATCTCTAA